TTTAAGACAATCGGACACTTACATCACATTTTATGAGAGTTGTAATTATTCAAAATTTTTACCATTTGTGGGGGAGGTACTTGATGGAGTGGGCCGATATTTTCCATTTTCACACCCGACCTCACACTGACGCAAATATTAAGATTTGCAAAGTTGGAGCAAAATCGGACTACAATTTCTCTTTCTGTGCAAAAATTAAATTTTTTGAAAATTTCGAACTTTTGTGGGGGAGGTACCAGAAGGAGTGGACCGATATTGCCCATCTCCGAACTCGATCTAAGTTTGATAAAAATATTACGATGTACCAAGTTTGGACCAAATTGGATACTCCCTTCGAGAGTTATCGTGCGCACCAGCCAGCCAGACAGACAGACAGACAGACAGACGGACGGACGGACGGACGGACGGACGGACATCGCTAGATCGACTCCAAATGTTCTGAAACGGATTTGGTCCAAAGAGACCTAGGGTCTAAAACCGTTATTTCGACTAGGCACGTTTTGGCCGTATCAAATGATATATACCCTCTGTAGCCATATGGCTGAGGGTATAAATATATATATATATATATATATATTTTCTTTTTATCTCACAGAAAAAGAAATGATAATCCGATTTTGCTCCAACTTTGCTAATCCTAATATTTGAATCATTCAGGTGCGAAAATCGACAATATCGGACCACTTTGTCAAGTGTCTCCCCCACAAAGGGTCATTTTTTTAATAATTACAACTCTTATAAAATTTGATGTAAGAGTCCGATTGTCTACAAATTTTACACATCCCACTAATTTTATTAACCCAAGGTCTGGCGTTAAGATGAAATATATCGGTCCACTTTTTCTGGTACCTCCCCCACAAAAGGTCGAAATTTTCAAAAAAAATATATTTCCTACACAGAGGAGCGATAATTCCATTATTTGCATTAGTGCTAGTTCAGGTGCGATAATGGACAATATCCGTTCACTCCATCAAGTAACTCCCCCTCCAAGGGTCAACATTTTGAATAATTATAACTCTTATAAAATGTGATGTAAGAGCCCTACACACATCATAATATCTTTATGAACCCAAATTCTGGTGTAAAGATGGAATATTTCGATCCATTTCATCCGAAACCTCCTCCACAAACGGTCAAAATTTTGAGTATTTATGAAGTTCATAAACCGCGAAATTTACATCCGATTTCATTTAGACTTGGTGCATCTCAATATTTCCATCAGCACAACATCTTTTATAAAGATTGTAGAGATCGGACCATTCCTTCTGATACCTCCCCATATAGGATCAAAGTTTTAAATAACAAAACGACTATAAAATCCGAAATAAGCATCCGGTTGTCTGCTTATTTCACATATCCCATTATTTCTACTAACACAAGATCTGCTGTGAAGAAGGAATACATCGGTCTCCTGGTACCTATCCAACAAGAGGTCAAATTTTGAATATTCATGAAGCTCATAAAATACTAAGTTAACATCCGATTCCATTCAGACATGTCACGTCTCAATATTTTCATCAACACAAGATCTGTTATAAAAATTCTAGAGATCGAACTGTTTCTTCTAGTAACTAAGAAATTAACATCCGATTGCATTCGGACTTGGTAGATCACAATATTTCCATCAGCACAACATGTTTTATAAATATTGTAGAGATCGGATTATTCCTCTGATACCTCCCCCACATAGGGTCAAAGTTTTGAATAACCAAAACGATCCTATAATCTAAACACAAGGACGGCTGTGAAGATGGGATATATAGGTCTACCCCTTCTGGTACGTCCCCCACAAAGTGTCCAATTATTAAATATCCATGTAACTCATAAAACACGAAATTAACATCCGATTCCATTCAGACCTAACACATCTCAATATTTTCCTCAACACAAGATCTGTCATAAAAATGGTAGAGATCGAACCATTCCTTCTGGTACCTCCCCACAAAGGGTCATCGTTTTGAATAACGATTATAAAATCCATAATTAGCATCCAGGTCTCCACATATTTTACACATCTCTTTATTTTTACTAACACAAGGTCTGTTATGGAGATGAGATATATCGGACCCACAAAAGGGTCAAATTTTTAAATAACGCGACATTAACATCTGATTCCATTCAGACTTGGCACATCTCAATATTTCTATCAACACAAGATATGTTATACAAATAGTAGAGATCCAGACAAAAAAAAGAAAGCAAACATACCAACAAGACACAAACACAAGATCTGTTGAGAAGAACCCCATTGGGTACCTCACCCACAAAGGGTCCCCATTTTCAATACTTTTACTTGTCATAACTTGCCAAATAAGTCAGCGATTTTTTTATATATCTAAACATTTCCCTCATCCAGAAGCCTGATATGAATATATAATTCATGATTTAGCATGAAATTGGATATAAATATTCGATTTTCTTGTAATTTTGCCCATACCAATATTTTTATCGGTATTACATGAAGTATGAAAAGTAAAAAAGCTGTAAGTTCGGCCCGGCTGAAAAAAAAAAAAAAAAAAAAAAAATCGGTTAAAATCTTAAAAATACCGAATGTAGCCGTATATTAGGGTATATACGACGACTTGGACCTGCATAGGCAACTTTTGTCACAAGCTATTACAATATTCAAATGCGAAACTTGAAACAAAAAACAGTTTATAATGTAGCTAAAATCATCAAAAAACCGAATATAGGAAGGTACCATGGGGGTTATAAATGGACCTGCCCAGACAATTATCTGTCATAGGCTGTAGTATCCATTACGAACTTCAATTAAAAAATTTGAAATATTTCCGGTAAATAATGTCGCTAAAATCATCAAAATACCGAATATTGGGGGTTCCGTTATATGGGGACTATACTATCAAAAAACCGAATATAGGAAGGTACCATGGGGGTTATAAATGGACCTGCACGGAGAATTTTCTGTCATAGGCTGTAGTATCCACTACGAACTTCAAATGCGAAATTTGAAACAATTCCGGTAAATAATGTCGCTAAAATCATCAAAATACCGAATATACGGGGGTACCGTTATATGGGGGCTATACGAAGACGTGAACCTGCACAGGAAATTTTCTGCCATAGGCTGTAGTATTTATTACGAACTTCAAATTCCAAATTTGAAATAGTTCCGGTAAATAATGTCGCTAAAATCATCAAAATACCGAATATCGGGAGGTACCGTTATATGGGGACTATACGAAGACGTGGACCTGCACAGAGAATTTTCTGTCATGGGCTGTAGTATCCATTACGAACTTCAAATGCGAAACTTGAAACAATTCTGGTAAATAATGTCCCTAAAATCATCCAAATACGGAATATCGTTTGGTACCGTTATATGGGGACTATACGAAGACGTGGACCTACACGGCCCATTTTCTGTTTTATGCGGTAGTATCTATTACGAACTTTAAATACCAAATTTGAAATAATTCCTGTAAATAATGACGCTAAAATCATCAAAATGCTGAATATCGGGAGGTGCCGTTATATGGGGGCTATACGGAGACGTGCACCTGCACAGACAATTTTCTGTCTTAGGATGTAGTATCCATTACGAACTTCAAATACTAAAATTGAAACAATTCCGGTAAATAGTGTCGCTAAAACATCCAAATACCGAATATCTGTGGGTACCGTTATATGAGGGCTATACAAAGGCCTGGACCTACACGGTCCATTTTCTGTTTTATGCTGTAGTATCTATTACGAACTTTAAATACCAAATTTGATATAATTCCTGTAAATAATGTCGCAAAATCATCAAAGTGCTGAATATCGGGAGGTACCGTTATATGGGGGCTATACGAAGACGTGGACCTACATGGCCAATTTTTTGTCTTAAGTCGTAGTATCTATTATGAACTTTAAATATTAATTTTGAATGACATAGAATGTTATGCTGATCAATAATATATATATACTTTATTTCGTCTAAAATGTATATTTCGAGGTGTTACAAACAGAATGACAAACTTAATATACCCTTCATACTGTGGTGGAGGGTATAAAAATGGAATACTTCGTTGGACTATATCTGGTACATCACGCACGTTTTAACATTTTTCTAAAAATTATTACATATCTCATATAAAGTGAAGGAAGTAACCAATATATTCCAAACCTGGCACGTCGCAATATTTATTTCATATTTATTTAGGTCCGATGCGAAATGAATAATATTATCCTATTTCTTCGGAGCTTACTCCATAGAGGGTCAACAATTTGTATAATCATAACAGAAATCAAAATATATTTAAATTATCGAATATTGGCAGAGGGTATACATCTGATGGCAAATCTGACTGAAATATGATTATTTTATGTGTCGGAAAATTTCAAGCTTAATGTAAAAAAATTTGAGACCTTTTTCTTGAAGGCTATTTTCTTATATTTTCCATGGAAAAGTAAATTCTTTTTCTAATTGGGTCCTCACCGAAACAGTTTCGAAATTGCAGGGTGTCTGCATTTCTTCAATTTTAAAATGTTATGGATTCTATAGACGTATATCGCACAATTTTTATTTTATTTTTTAATCATTCTTGTTTTTTTGGGCAATTGCTATTATAAATAAATTTTGTTTAGATTTTTTAAGGACCTTTTTTTGAAAAATATATGTATTTTAAACATGTTTCATTTATTCTCTTAATCCCCTTTACCTCTTTTACCTTATAAAAATTATGTGCATTTATTTCATTTGTAATGTAATGTCGAATGTAATTGTCATTTGTCTAAAATCACCAACTAGCCACATACTTATTCGAGTCACCTAGTCACATAGACCCAGCTCCCAGCTAGACATTCAGTCACTCTTTGCCAAACACACATTCACACATAACTATAATTCAAACATACTCGTACGAATGAATGTACATTCATCCATCCATCCATTCGTTCGTTCGTTCATTCAGCCATTCATTCATTCACTTAGAATTGTGTGAATTACTCTTGTTATTGTTGTTGGTCTCGTTGTAATCTCTCAGTGTTTTGGTTTTTTCCTTCTTAACATGGGCTTTGGGAACTATAAATATTGCAAGCTTTTGTCATAATCATTCAAACCACAAGTTGCTTTAAACTTAAACAGACACAACTTTTCAGTTTTTCCGAAAAAACCCAATCAACCAACAAACTCACTCAAAATGTTCAAATTGGTAAGGATGTGTTAAAGGCACACAAAATTGTTACAAAGGATAATGGAGATATTAAAAACCGAAGTTTTTAAAAATTAATATTTCTTTCGAATGTATATGTAATGTGTGTGTGTGTGTGCGAAACAAAAGACTTAAGACACAAGCGGTGTAAATAATGCATCTAAAGCCGTTGTAAAACAAAATTAGAGAAATGTGACACTTTTTTTAGCTGATTTAAAAAAAAAAATGTTATAAAAGTCAAAATAAAATGAAAAGGATAATACATAATTGTGCAAAGTATGTGACAATGACAAAAAATATAAAATAATTCTTTAGAGTTTTCGGTGCAAAAACTTGGGAAATTTACTTAACCGAACTGTGTAAAAACCCCTTAGCAAAAAAAAATGTTAAACAAAAACTTTGTAAAAGTCAGATAGAGCTCACTTCAACATCTTCCATGGTCCATTTCAAATGTCAAATATTATCCGGCCACCATTGAAAATATTAAGTTAATTTTTGCGAATATTGGTATATTCATCTACAATGTTGGTCATTATATCGAAAGCAAAATCGGTGTTGTAGTATCTATCATTCCTTAATATTTAATGACAACTAAGAAGATTTTGGGTTTCTTCTCTGAAAAAAAAAAAAAACCAGAGCTCAGAACATAGGTTCGTGACATCTGACGGCCTGAAGTTTGATTTCAATATGGGAAGCTTTGGAAATAGTTCGCCAATATAGTCCAGTAGTGCTCGTATCATAACCAAACCAAATATTATTCAAATATTACGACGAGCGAAGTTTAGAGCAAATGTCGAAATCCGTTCACATTTTGTGTGATTTAATTTTTTTTAACAGGTATGGTGGATATACTTGAAGCGGTGAACAGTTATAATCCAACGTATTCCAATATAAGATTAAGTTCACAATTTGGGCACATTGTACAAGAGGTAAAAAATCTAATAATTTAGTTCATCTTCGACCATGATCGTGAACTCCACTCGGGAGATAGCTTGAGAATTAGCCAGAACATATCCTTTGCATTAACTTTTGTGCTATTCCTGAATTAAAACAGAGCCAAAAAAAAATATTTTTCCATTGACAAGTAGTCTAAAGAAAAAGTCGGAATACGAAAAATGCAGTAAAAAAGGAGGACTTACCTTAGGCGTAAGACATTCAAAACCCACTAACTTCAAATTGGAAGACTTTGATTTTAATACCAGTAGCACACACACAAATTCATTAATTAAAATAATTAAATAAATTTAAATCAATATTTCGAAAAAAAAATAAATATCATACCCCCTACCATAGTATGAAGGGTATATTAAATTTGTCATTCCTTTTTTTTAATTATTCGAAATATACATTTTAAACCCCAAAAAGTATATACAGGGTGAGATAAAGAAACTGCAACAAAGTCAAAAGCCATAATTTTGACTTTTTTTTTTAATTTTATTGAAAAAAAGCAAAATATGTCGAAAATAGCTTCAAAATTTAGAATAAGTTTAGATTTCTTCGAATTGGTCAACTTTGCACGAATTATGGCCTTCTTCAAGCGCTTGCATGCGGTGATCGACACTAAAGTATTTTTTAGTGCCAACCTTGCTCTCCAAAATAATGCAGAGACAATAGTCCAAAGGATTGGTATCCGGAGATTTTGGTGGCCATTGTGCTCTGCAAATGAAGCAAGGAACCTCATTTTGTAAACATTCTATGGTGGCACGTGCTGAGTGCGTTGGTGCTGAGTCCTCTTGGAATGTCCAAGGCTTTAATACACCCTCCAGAATATTTTCGCGATAATATTCGGTATTTATTCTGATGCCACGGTCGATCAATACGAGCGGAGAGCGTCCATCGGCTGTTATGGCGGCCCACACCATCACCATGGCCGACGCTTGAGTTCTGTTGGCCAACCGAAAGTGCACATTCTCAGCTGACCTCTTTAGCAAATAAACACGATCATTTTGTTTGTTTACAAACTGCTGGACAACAAGTGTTTTCACATCGGAGAAAATCAAATTCGTCAGTTCACCACTTTCGGCCAAGCGAAGCAACTCTTTAGCTCTTTTGAGTCTATTTTCTTTCTGTTGCGGTGTAAGTTCTAGCAGTTTTTGTAATTTCAATGGCTCGTTTTCAATATTTGTCGAATGGCATATTGCGATATGTTCAGCTCTCGAGCCATTTTGTGGCCACTGCGACGCGGGCTTCGATCAAGTCTTTTCTTTACTCTTCGAACCAATTCTGCTGATGTTGCTATTTTCTTCCATTCACTTCCTTGATGTCGGGCTACGCTATCAGTATCACAGTAAAAAGCTATGGCACGAGTCCCAAAAGATTTATTCACATCTAAATAATGGAGTGCTCTAACAATAGCCACTTGTCGTTTTCCAGCCAAATAAAAAGAATTCGCATTATCACGCTTGAATTCCATGACGAATAACTTTTTTTCTGGAAAATTCTCACCAAAATGCTTTTGCACGCTTGTAAACAATATAATGAGCTGTCACTGGAATAATTTTAGCAGCTGTCGGACGAGTGGCTTAGAAATGACAGCAGTCTGAAGTTGGTTGCAGTTTTTTTATCTCACCCTGTATATGGCCCATTTTCAATACCATTTTTTTCAATGTTATTAACAACGTTCCATTTGAAGCTATGGTGATTTCCTCAGTCAGATACATGGACATCACTTAATTGATAAAGAATTTCAATCTGATAAAGAATATATACATTGTGTGGTATTAAAATTCCTATTTTAAGGAGTTATTAACGGACCGACAATCCTTATATACCCTCCATATATAGCAGGGATATAAAAATGAAAATTTTGCGAAAATTATATAAACCTCTTCAGTAGTTTATTCTGAAATATAATATCTGAGCTTATCATTTTAGTACATTTTAGCTTATTTTTGATGAAATTTTTAAAAGACTTCAATTTTGCAAATTTTACAAGTCTAGCTATTTAATACAAACCAATTGTCAAAGCATATTTAGTAAGGTATAACTGTTTTTCAACTTATTTTTTTGGAAAAAAATTAGAGCTTTATGCTGTTTTAGCAATTTTGAAAACTTAAAATCACTGAATTGAGGAACCAGATCAAATTTGGTTTTATTTTTCCGATATTTTAAATTTTCAAAAACAACTTGGAGAATATTCTGAATATGTAGGTTGATTTCAATAAAAAAAATATTTGAACTACATATTTTCTAAAAAAATGCGAATTTCATAATTCTTCTGAAATGCATTAATAACTTTTGTACCACCCGATGATTCATAAAAAAGAGACTGAATTTGACAGCCAATGTAGAGTAAATTGCATCACAAAGCCAATTTATATTAATCGCCATTCGAGTAAAAGTCAGAAATAGCTACTAGATACAACAACTCAAAATGGATTTGGATGCCAAAAAGACCTTTCAATTGCCTTTTATAAACAGGTCATAAATCCTTTGAATTTTTCTTTAAGGCTCTTCAAAATCTGACTCTTTACACATCATTATTAAAGTATATTAGATTTATGTACTATTTCCGAACAGGATAATTTAAATCAAACAGTACTACTCGTATCCTTTTAATACACATTTGAATTCATTCTTCCATTTTCGACCGTCTCACACCAAAGTATTATTTAATAAATAGTACACATTTTAATTTTCTCAAATAAAAGTACTCCTTAAATATAAGGATTATATCTCTTTCATTTATGTTTTAGGTACTTCTTTAGGAAATTTTACATTTTAGGTTTTAGTACCCTCTATTACATTTTTGGCACATCTTCCCTACTTTTCTACTACGACCAGTTCACATCCAAAATTACAAAGAATCCTAGATCTATCATTTCATAATTTTCAGCGGGATTTAAGTACCCAAAAGGAATGGTTTCATATTAGAATTAATGGATAAATTTAAATAACAAATATTGGGTCTAACGATACAACGATAGAAACTCCAACTTACTACACCTTCCAACGTACACATTTTTAGCTTCAAAAATACAACTTTTAATATATTTTAGTTACAGATTGTACGAAATTTCAAAAAAAAAAAAAAAAAAAATATTCGAAAAATTTCAAAATTCCATTTGTTTGATTGTGGGGGTCATCTCCAAAATGTTTTAACAAAAATTGTATAATATATTTTAATACTCATTTCCCTTTGTTTTAAATTTCAATCAGATCGCTGTCTTCTCTGCCATCTGCGCCGTTGCGTCCGCCGGCTACTTGGGTGGTTATGGCCATGGTGTTGCTCTCTCAGCTCCAGCTTATACTACCTCTTATCATGCACCTGCCGTCGTTGCCGCACCAGTTGTTCATGCAGCCCCAGTCTATAAGTCATATGCTGCCCCAATTGCCGTAGCTGCTCCAGTCGTTAAAACCTATGCTCCAGTGGCCACCTCATATGCCAATACCTACAAGGTGTCCGCTAAGGCCATTCCAGTTGTTCATGCTGCCCCTGCCGTGGTTGCCGCTCCCGTCTACAAATCATATGCTGCCCCAGCTGTTGTTGCTGCTCCAGCCTATGGTTATGGTTATCACCATGGTCTTGCCAGTTATGGTCATTCGGTCTACCATTAAACGAAAACAGAAATAGCAACATAGAACTCATATAGAACGGAATTGGAAAGTGATTATTGCATAGAAGGACCCCGGTGTTTGTTACATACTTGCATACATACGTATGTGTGTATGTAAGGATACACACACATGAACGAACGAATCATTTCATCGTTAAATTAATTTAAATCATCATCATGACCTTTTTTTTGTATTATTCCATCTTCATCTTGTCATTTGTTATAGAAATTTGCATTCGAAGCGAACGATATTTTTGTTTTGTGAAATTTAATTTTTCTTTTGTTTATTTCCACCTTCCTTTTCTCTTTCGAGAGGAAGGAGAGCATCTAAACTGAGAACTATCATTTACCATTAAGTATTAGAGAAGAAAGCAAAAACATCTGTAAACGGAGATAGAGTTAACAACAATAATGAGAGCATTATTTGGAATTCATGAGAGATTAAGAGAGAGAGAGTGCATAGTACATTAAAAACAAGAACAACTTCTATAAGTAATCTTTTAATTAATTTCCTAAATGAGATTTTGAGTTATTTCTAGCCAAATTATTTGAATCGAATGAATTGCAATGAATGTGTTTGTTTCATATCTTGTAAATAAATAAATAAAGACGAAGTAAAACTTTTATACGAAAACTAATATTGGAAATTTAATTTTTTATTGAGACAAGCTGGAATGTAACATGGCCTTAATATATCATGGGATGTATGTAAGACCAATGCAAGAACTTCTCTTCTTCTCGCATCTTTTCAGATTTTTTTGTAAAAATTACATCCAAATGGGGCGAAAAATTTAGTGTCAAGATTTAAATCATCGGCATTTTAAAAGAGTGCTCTACTTTATTTTTAAATTTATACGAGGATATGATTTTATATAGAAATATAACAACGTGGACTTTTCCGTCAATGCGGGCACTGTCTTTGTGTAATATTTTAAGTCTATATTTCTTTCGCGATTTGTGTTATCAGAAAGGGTGGGCCGTTAAATTCTATATTAAAAATTTACCACAGACAACAAAATGATAACATTTTAAAATAAAAAAATATATAGAGAATAGGTTTACCTATAAGTCCATTACTGCAGATAAAAAACTGCAACAAGGTCAAACGCCATAATTTTGATTTTTTTTTATTTTATTGAATGAAAGCAAACCAGTAAAGAAAGTCCTTAAGTCGAGCAGGGCCGACTTTATGATACCCTACACCACTTTGCTTATTTAGTAGAGCTCCACATAACAATGAAAAGTTTTATAGGAGAATTCAATCATACACGCTATGATTATAATTATAATTTAAAATTCAAAGGACTTAATATGCCGAAGCATTTGCATCTTTTAAATTCGGACTTGTATGGGCCATTTGGTGCAAAATTAATTTGAAATCAGATAAAAATATGTATGGGAGCTATATCCAAATCTGAACCGATCTCGATAAAATTTGGCAAAAATACTTCTGAGTGTATATTACGGCTGCGGAGGACAAAAATGACAAATCGGATGAACAATATATATGGGAGCTAAAGCTATATCTGAACCGATCTTCACCAAATTTGGCATCCTACCTTCTAGACTCAATTCGGTCGTATGCGCCAAATTCCATCCTATTTGGGCAAATATTAGACGTTTGGTGTACAATAAAAGGTAAATCGGACGAAGTTATATATGGGAGCTATATCCAAATCTGAACCGATCTCGATAAAATTTAGCAAAGGTATTTCTGAGCTGCATTTGATATACCTCTCCAAATATTGTTGTTACAGAGTGCATATTAGCATCTTTTAAATTGTGTGTCTAAGTAGAAATCCTTTTTGGAGGTCTTCTATCTATAGAAGACCCTTAGAAGTTATTTTGTCTATTGAAGACATTAGGAACAGCTGTTGAACAGCTGTATAAGGTCTTTACTCAACGAAACAGTAACAAGTAAAAAAGCTATAAGTTCGACTATACTATAAGTTCGAGTTTGACTATCCTCCACCATTTGGAACGAATTTGGAAATTCTCAAAAACAAAATCCGTTAAAAATTCTGTTAAAATCTTAAAAATACCGAATGTAGCTGTTATATTAGGGTCTATACGACGACATGGACCTGCATAGTATTCAAAATATTCAAATGCAAAACTTAAAAAACAAAAATCGGTTATAATGTAGATAAAATCATCAAAATACCGAATATCGACAGGTACCGTTATATGGGTGCTATACGAAGACGTGGACCTGTACAGACAATTTTCTGTCTTAGGCTGTAGTATCCATTTCGAACTTCAAATACCAAATTCGAAACAATTCCTGTGAATAATGTCGCTAAAATCTTCGAAATACCGAATATCGGGAGGTACAGTTACATGGGGGCTATACGAAGACGTGGACCTGCACAGACAATTTTCTCTCTTAGGCTGTAGTATCCATTTCGAACTTCAAATACCAAATTTGAAACAATTCCGGTAAATAATGTCGCTAAAATTATCAAAATATCGAATATCGGGAGGTACCGTTATATGGAGGCTATACCAAAACGTGGACCTACATGGCCCATTTTCAGTACCAAAAGTCCTGCGGACATAAAATACAATTGGGTACATTTTTATCAATCTACTTCAATTCGTTCGGAAGCTAGAGTGATTACTACAGAAGGACGAACATCGCTAAATCGACAAAGAATTTTATGCTGATCAAGAATATATATACTTTGTGGGTCTAAAATGTGTATTTCGATGTGTTACAAACGGAATGACAAACTTAAAATACGGAGGGTAAAAAATTGAAATAATGAATTTATATGGCTTCCAGTCATAACAAACTTTATGAAAACGTTTGGTTTTCATGTGGTTGCTGCACACGATAGTGTATTAAAGGTCACATCCCACACAGAGATAAAACAGGGCATAATGAAAAATAATTAAGGAATAGAGAAAACAGACTAGTTACATTATTCTCCACCCAACATTACAATAAATAATAATTATTGTTGGACAACAATTAACCTAAGTAGTTCTTATGAAAAAAACATAGAATATTATAAATAAAATTACAAATAAATATTCCAACGAACTAACGAACCAGTCGATTTATTCATTGACATTACTTGGAAATCCTTAACGCTCTAGGTCACTGAGCGATGCAAACCAGATCAACAAACTAACCAAAAATGGTGTAAATTGCAAATGCTTAAACTTTAGCCATCCAATGTCCGAATGCCTAATGATAAATGATATTTGCACTCGTTATTCTAATCTGAATTAAATTCGATTACAAAGAATGGCCAGAATAGAAAAAAAATAATTTTAAACGTTTTTATTGTCCATTCACAAGATAGCTACCGTTTTTTTTTTTTTTTTTGTTTATAAGTTTATATTTCTTTTTACATGAACTTCATGTTGGGTCTCAGCACGTATGATTGTGGGTATGTATGTGGGGTATAACTTCATTCACGACACCAGCAGCCGCAGCAGATAGCACCACCGCCACCATCTGAATCGAACGACATTCATACCAATTATCCTCTGCGTTTGTGTGTTAAATAAATGTGCCGATTAATGTTTTGACTCAGCCGCAGTCATGTCGTTTCGTTGGCCATGTCCGTCCAAGTACGGACACAGACCTTGTGGTTTGATTTTTTTTCTGTCTGTCAGTCTCTCAAGCAGTCCGAAACCTCTGTGGCCGTTCAAAGTAGCAAAGGCATTGGAGTTGTGCTTTAAACGATGGAAATTATTATTTTTATGTGCAGTTTAAAATAATTGCTCTGCTACTGGGTGAGATAATAATATAACAAATTTTAATAAATTAGAAATGTTGATATTTTCTAATAAAAAATAAGGCATTTAAAGGCAAAGCATGCTCTAATGAACCAAGGGAAATGTAGAATAATGAAAAAAAAATCACTTCGGAATAAAGGATAGAGATTCTGAAGATTTGATGAGAAAATGTGAAAAAAAGTGGAGCAAATATAATGGAGACTAAAAATACCAAAATTTGGCGAAATTAAAAGGAAAATATGACTTATACGTAAAAAATAATTGAAATTGGGGCCTTATTTAGGGAATATAAAAAAAGCTTAACCGAATGAATGAGCTAGAAGTAATCCAAAGCTCCCTACAATTTGTCAATGCTCCAAATTAAATATTACGAAAAATATTTCCAAATCTCAGGGTCCTTTTAATATGCTAAAGACTTAATAAAGGCCTTTAAATGGTGTTCCCTAAGACCATAATCAATTTTGCGTTTTCTATTCACAAACCGAGTACTATCAAAACGACGTTTCCCTCACAACTGGACAATGTTTTTTTTAAGAAAATTTACTGAGAATTTGGAAAATGTGCTAAATTTGTCAAAAATATAACATATTTTTAATACCCTCAGCCATATAACTACAGAGGGTATATATATTTTAATACTGCCATAAATATCCGTCTCAGGATATTTGGAGTCGATATAGTGATGTCCGTCCGCCCGTCCGTTTTTCTGGCTGGTGCTCACGATAACTCTCGAAGGAAGTACCCGACTTGGTACATCGCATCGGTCCACTCCTCCTTTTACCTCCTCAAAAAATGTCAAAAAAAATGTTTTAATGCATAGAAAGAAAGGATGATCCGACATTGCTCCAACTTTGCAAATCCTAATATTTCCATCAGTGCTGCGCCAGGTGCGAAAATGGACAATATTGGTTCACTCCATCAAGTACCTCCCCACAAAGAGTCAAAATTTTGATCCAATTGTGTTCAAATTATACACATCACAATACTTTGATTAACCCAAGGTTTGGTGTGACGATGAAATATTTCGATCTACTCCTTATAATACCTCCTATACAAAAAGGTCAACATTTTCAATGTCCATGAAGCTCATAAAACACGAAATGCACATTCAATTCCATTCAGACTTGGCACATTTCAATATTTCTATCAACACAAGATCTGTAAAAAAAGATGGTAAATATCGGACCATTTCTTCTGGTACTTTCCTACCACTTTCGGCCGGGCCAAGCTGTGAATACCCATCACAATTTGGAACGAATTTGGACATTTTCAAAAAAAAAATAAATAAATAAATAAAATAAAATCCGTTAATAATTCTGTTAATATCCCAAAAATACCGAATATTTGGATCTATACGAAGACGTGGACCTGCATAGGCAACTTTTGTCATAAGACGTTACAATATTTACTAATATAACTAAAATCATCAAAATACCGAATGTATGGAGGTACTGTTATATCGGGGCTATACGAAGACCTGGATCTGCATAGACAATTTTCTGTTACAGGATGTAGTACCTATTGGGAACTTCAAATACGAAATTTAAAACAATTTCGGTGAATATAGTACCTAAAATACCGAATATATGGAGGTTTTAAAATATATGGGGCCTATACAAAGACTTTACTTTCCATTACGAAGTGTAAATACGAAGTTTGACACCACTCCGGTCAATAATGTCCCTAAAAACAGAATAAAATTAAAAAAAAAATAAATTATCAAAATAACGAATATATGTAGGTACCGGGAGGGATACCACTATATGAGGGTTATACGTTATCGTGGACCTATATAGATAATTCTCTGTCAGGAGGTAAAGTGCTCATAAGAAAAACCTTGTGTTGAATTGCAGACAATTCCATTGAAAAATGTGGCTAAACTTATCAA